TCGTTGCCGGGACGCGCACCGCCGGGGTCCGGGGCGAGCCGAGCGGGGAGAGGCTTTAGCGCCTTCAGTCCCCGCCGCGTCCCTCCGCCTCTCGGTCCTCGGAGCGCGTCTCTTGCGGGTTCTTGGAGCGCCTTCCAACGTCCCTTTTGTGGTTTAGGTGCAAGGGAGTGGTCACACCCCAGGATTTAGGGTTTCAGGTCCTCCAAGTGATGGGCGTGGCGTCCTCACCTGGTTACGAGTATCCTGAAAAGTTTTAAGTGGCCGCTGGCGCTGTTGATGTTCTTATGCAAAAACTAACCTCTCCGGGTGCTTAAATACACTTTGTTCGGCCGCTTCTTTGCTGCTTTAGCCGGAGTCGTCGCCAGAGACCGGCGAGTTGCCCTTGAACGTATTTTTCCACCTGGGGTGAGTGTGCTTGAGTGAGTGTGTGTGTGTATGTGTGTGAGATGATACCTGGTTTTACTTTAATTTCCTTGACGACTAAGGAAGTGGGGCTTTTTTTTCACATTTACCATTTCTGTTTGTTTTGGATTGCCTATTCATACCGCTTGCCCGTTTTTCTTCCTTTTGTTTCTTTTCGGTTGCTGAGAGTTGTTTACTTATTAAAGGTGAAAGTCTTTTGGTTACATAACATTGAATGAGATGGTGTTTAGTGGAGCATGAAGAGTAACTTTATTGTCACTATCACAGGCTCTAAATGTTGTGGATTATTGTTACCCTCACTTTGGGGAATCTGGTCAGTTTTAGAGTTTCCAGTTGGCCTCAGGTATTATAAAAGCCCAGACATACCGAGTTTGTCTTATGGGGCTGGGAATGTTGTCCAGTCCTAGAGGGCGTGCTTAGCATGACTGAGGCTTCAGGTATAATCCTTGGCATCAGAAATAAAAATAAGAGGGCCGGTAATATAGCTCAGCGGTACAGTGCCTGCCTGGCAAACATGAGGCCCAGGGGTTGATTCCCGGTACCAAAAAATAAAAATAAGGTATCTGTGTATTTTAAAGCTAGGTTCCAAAGGGCACGCCCAGTCTGGGTCCCGTTCTGGCCTAGAAACCTATAGTGGAGAAATCTGGAAGTGTCTTGGTTTCTTACCTGGTTCTGCACTTTGGTTCTCTTTTCCCTTCTCTGTCTTCTGTCACGTTTCTGGCTGTGGTTCTTTGAGATGGAAGTGAGGAAGCAAGCAGAAAGATGAGGGTTAAAACAGTCTTCAAGCTCCTGCCTTGGACAGAGCTTGCATGGTGTGGGTGTGGCTCAGACTACAAAAACAAAAATTAGTCTTTTAAGACAGTTGTTGTGAGCTGGCTCTCGGAATGCAGCAGCTTTGTTCTTCGGCCTTATGGGCTGTTTGGATCCTCAGTGATGGGAGGATCCTCCTGTCTGCAGCTTATGCACAGATCTCCACCTTTTTCTGCTTTTGCTTTGGGACAGGCGTTGGCACACTGCAGCCCACGGGCGTGATCCAGTTGGGCACCTGTTCATGGCCTTTGAGCTGAATATGATTTATTCATTTACAAGTGGTTGGGGAAAAAAGAGTATTTTATGGTATAAGAAAATTATGTGGAGTTCAATCCCCGGTACCAAAAAAACCCCCCAAAAACCACAAAATAAACCAAACAGAAAAAAGAAAATTATTTGGAGCTGGGCCTGGGTGCACACCTGTAATACCAGCACTTGGGAGGCTGAGGCAGGAGGATCACTGCAAATTCAGGGCCAGCCTGGGCTACATAGTGAGTTTAAGGCCAGCCTAAACTGTGTGGCAAGACACTGTCTCTCAAACAAAATTATGTAGAATACACAATTTCATAAAGTTTTTTTTGGGGGGTACTTGGGATTGAACTCAGGACCTTGTGCTTGTGAGGCAGGCTGCGGAACCACTGGCCCTTCATAAAGTTTTATTGGAACACATCCGTGTGCATTCGTGTGCCTAACAGTAGTTCTCAAACGCTTGGATTAATAATGAGCATTTGAATTTGTCAAAAATCATACCATTGGCCCCGGATTTAGCTCAGTGGTTTCGCTGCTTGCCCTGCAAGCACAAGGGCCTGAGTTTGATCCCTGGTACCCCCCTCCCCCACCCAAAACATACCATTTAGGGCCCACAGGGTGAAACTGAATGTATAAAAACTTCAGTTAGAACACTTGTTTCTCCCTATGCTGAGAATTGAACCTGAGGCCTTGGGAGTGCTAGGCAAGCATTCTACTACTATATACAATTTTAAGAAGTCATTTAGGAGGTCTTGAAATCCTAAGATGGAATGCAAAGTGTCAAGAAACTGTCCTTAGGTTTTTCCTTTTTCCTTATCTTTCTAAGTGGAATGCTTATCATTCCTTTTTTATTTATTTTTTTTTAATTGAGACAGGGTCTCACTTTGTAGCTCAGGGTGGCCTTGAACTCTCTGTGTAGCCGAGGAATCTCACTCTTAGCCATCCCCCTGCCTCAGCCTCTGCAGTGCTTGAATTACAGGGGTGTACCATCGCACCCTGCAGTGATGTTTTTGTGGTTGAATTTTTTTCTTGCAAAAGTCCTGCTGTGGGTTTAGCTTTATGAGCACACCTTTTTTTCTTTTTGGTTGAATTATTTTATGGATGCTTCTTATTCTTTATTCTTAAATGTGCCAACTAAGGTACTATGATTATGTTTTCTATGCAGCTTATTTCCCTGGAGTTAGTAATTGATTTATATTTTGTTTGCCTAGTTTTCTCTTTTACCGATAGCTAGATAATCCAATTCACATTTTCAGAAGAGCTGGAAGATCTTTTCCAGATGTGTGCAGACACACCTAGTATTTTGTCATTTGGGAGTCACTGACTTGGTTGTGACTTGGGGACTTCCCTTTAACATTTTTTCTGGAACTTTACTTCCCCCTTTCCTTTCTCCCCATTTTGGTGTTCTTTGTTTTTAATTTAGTCCCTCACCAAGAACTGTAGCTCTTTGAGGGCGTCCTGGGGTCCTCCTTCCTAGTCCTGAATGATCCATAACTGGATGTTACCTGGGGCCAGACACTTAACCTGTTTGTGTTCCAGTGTCCCATCTGAATGGTGGACATGACAATGTAGCCAGCTTCAAAGGATTGTCTTAAAAATTAAATGAGCAAATGCAAGGTGTTCAGTAGTGTTTGCTATTATTATTAGTTTGTGTTGGTAGGTCACATCTCCTCCCAAAATAGGCTTAGTTTCCTGAGGAAAGGATAGATAAGAATAAGAAAAATTATGGCATTTCTTGAAAATATGTTCATGCTAACCTTACTCTTTCTTGATGTATAGTTTGGTTTGGGTTCTGAATTAGAAATTATTTCTGTCAGGATTAAAAGACATGCTTTATTGTTTGATACAGTGTATATGTTACATTGGGCAGTTAGCCTGGAAATTTAAGCCTTTAAGATCTGGGATGTATTTAGCAAATTTTTGTATATTTTTTTTATTGTATATTGTAGTATACATTACTATTAACTGTGGTCTCTGGTGTTCATTAGGTCTCTGGACTTATTTTTCCTTATAAAGCAAACTTTGACCTACATATAACATTATTTATTCATTTATTTATTTATTTGGTACCAGGGATTGAACTCAGGACCTTCTGCTTGCAAAGCAGGCGACAGAACCACTTAGCTAAATCCCTAGTCCTATAACAAATTTAATTGCATGTGAAAATTACATTTTTACTCTTACATTTTTTTTTTGATGTCGCAGTTTGCATCTTTCTTATATTTTATACAGTAAATAATTGTAACTTGTTTTTTGTTAAATCTGGAAAATATTTTGCAAATTTCTTCCTTTTTCTGTTTTCTTTTGTTTACTTTTTACAGGGCTACTCTTTCCACTTGAATTACCTTTCTCACTGTGTGTGTGTGTGTGTGTGTGTGTGTGTGTGTGTGTGTTTTA